TTCTCACCAGGCCCAGCGATCCAGGCGCCATCTTGCAGGTGGCGGAGCAAAAGGCCGGAGAGTGGGCCGCTTCCGTGCCACCGCGCCCTTCGCAGCGCGCGAGGGTTCCTGCGAACGCAGCGCGGGCTGGCCGGGAGGGCACAAGGACAAAAACAAGGGCAAAGGCACAGGCGAGGCATGGATTCCATGTTCGTTCTACCTCAGCGGACACTGCCGGTGGGGCAACAACCGCAAATTCAACCACGCGGGCAACAACGCGAGCAAATCTTTAGCGAAAGATGTTTGCCGCATCTGCCATAAACCTGGACACTGGGGCAACGAGCGCCTGCACAAGGACTCCGGAACACTCCCTGGGGTGGGGCCCGGGGCAACATAAGGACAACTTGGGGTGGGGCCCAGGCGAAAAGGCGACGCCAAAAACAATTGGGCAGGCTTAGGAAAAGGATGGGGCGCCGACGCGCCCACTTCCGCACCTCCCGGTTTCGAGGCCGAGGAGAGCCGGAAACGCAGCCGGATCGGAGCCAGCGCGATGTCCGGAGAGGCAGCCGGATCGGAGCTGGCGCCAACAACACAGCAGTCCGCGGCCAGCATGGCAGCATTCACGCAGATGGCGCAGCAGTTAATGAACGAGCAAAAGAACAATTACAAGACGGTGAGGGATACTTCGGGGCGTCTCTCTGGGAACGTGCTACGGATTTCCGCTCCCAACCTCACCGTCGGAATCAACAGCGCCACTTCGGAATCGCCTTTGGCGATGGCGGCAGACTTAGGTGCCGAAAGACACGTTTTGGCAGGTAGGGATTACAGGCGCGCAATGAACATCCGCCCCCTAGACGCCCCCCTCATCCTAGAGACGGCGAGCGGGGAGACCGTCGTTACGGACCAGTGCGACGTTGTATGTGGAGCTGTCCTTCTCCAGGGCGCCCTGATGTGCAAAACAGCAACGTCTTCCCTTCTAGCCATCGTCGTCTTGACGGACGACAGCTGGCAGTACGGCCAAGTTCGTGCAGGAGCTGTCCTGACGGATCCCCAGGGAGGCCGTTCCAACCTTCACAGGTTTGGCAATTTGTTTCTTCTCGTTGGTGCTAATACGACACCTACCCCTTCGCCATTACCAACATCTTCGTCACCATCATCATGGGGAAAGGGAGAGAAAGGAGGGAGAGGGGAGAGCAGGGCATGTCGTAGCAAGGGTTCTGTTGTGTCGGAGTTTCGCAGTGAGGCATCGTCGCAGCAAGAGACGACGGGGGGGATGACAGTCGTGCCGCTGCGCCACGGCCGGCTGGAATCCACAAGCCTGGCGGCGGGGTGGACAGTCGCGCTGTTGCGCCACGGCCGACTGAATACCCGCCGTTGGGTGCGTCGTCAACACAGGGTCACGGCGGGTCGTGGGTACTCAGCACGTTCGAAATGCACGCTGCCAGCCTCAGAGAAGAACCCGTTGTAGTGGCGGACACCCCGGAGGCCTTCCAGCAGTATTCTGCGCGGCGACCATCGTAAGTTGATGTTGTACCTTCCTGAGCGTAGAAACCCGCCGATTGAGGTGGACCCTGCGCTCCTTATCCATTTTAGGAAGGGCCACGCGGAGCACGACCCGAATTGCGACATCTGCGTGCATGCGAGGCTTCGTGCTCGCCCGGCGCGGCGGGTGCACCAGGAGTCTCGCGGAGGGTTTTTTTTTCGGACCTCGCTGGCCCCCTGCTCGTCAGCCTCAACGGAAACAAGTACGCCTTCGCCACCGTAACCCGACTTTCTAACACGGTTTCGCGAACCCCCTGCCCAACAAGGAATCCTAAACAGTGAGAGCGCGATGATCGATTGCAAGCTCGATCGGCGACGCTTGCGGCGATCTCATTCGGATGGCGGCGGGGAGTTGAAGGGGGAGGTGGACAGCTGGTTTCGGAAGTGCGGTCTTGTTCGCACGGACGCGGGAGGTTATGGTCGCAGGCCAAAGGCGTCGCGGAGGGGCGCATTCAGGAATTATTTGAGATCGCCCGGGCCCTCCTACAGGCAGGCGCCCCAAAAGAGCTCTGGGACGAGGCACTGGCGCACGCCAGCGCCTTGTTCAATAACACCCCCCGTAATGTACCAGGGCAGGAGGGCAAGGTACTCCCACACACGCTCGAAAGTAGTAGTTGCGATGATGGAAGTAAATGGCCTCCTTGGGGTTGCAAGTGTTTGCATCTTATCCCCAAGCTTGTGCGTGCGGACAAATTAGACGGACTTGTTCGGGTCGGAGTGTTCGTCGGTTTCGATTCGAGGACGGTTCACGGTGTGAGGGTTGCGCCGATTATTCGTTGTGTGAACGAGTGGGTCGTCGAGAAGCCGATCGTTTCGACTACTGTTCGTACTGTCGACACCGAGTTTCCCCTGAAGAGCCGCGGCGGCGAGCTCGACCCCCTTGACGGCGTCTTCGACGCGCCTGAGACGGACACCCCCTGTTCCTGGAAGGACTCCGCGGCCGCGGAGAGTGGCGCGGCGGCGCCAGAAGCGGGGCCACAGGCGGCGGCCGGGGACAGTGGAGGTGCTGCACCACGCCCGACTGGAACCGTCGCGCCTGAGACCCCTGCAGCAAAAGCGCGGGGTCGCACAAACAGTCGTTTCGCCACAGTCGAGGAGCAACTCGCCTATTGGCGTGAACGTAAGCGGGAGCAAACCCGCATGCGTGCCCGGTCCAACCTGTTGGCCCTGCCCGTAGAGGGTCTTCTGCAGCCAGGCGAGGGGGACCTCGATTGGGACGCCGCCAGTTCGTGTAGCACGCCTTCGTCGTTCGCGTCTGCGGCCTCTGACAGCGACGACGTCCAGTCAGATTTGTCTCGCGATGAAGTGGCAGAGCTGGCGTTTGGTACTCAGTCGCCCCACCCGGTCCGTTCCGTAAGCGCCGCCGCCTTCACGACAGGGCTCCGCGAGGATACGTTCCGCATTTTTGCGAGCGCCATGTCTGCGCAGGAGCCGGTAGGCTGATGGAGCTGTTGCCAGTCTTCTGCTGAGACTGTATGTGTCTTGCGCCATGGATCTTTACGAACATGCCTATTTCCGCATAGCTGCATGTCAGCCTACCGCGCAAACGCCGACTTAAGGCTGACCACGTGCCAACCGAATGGGGACGACTGCTTGGCAGATCGCGCCACCGAGCGCCAGACCCTATCGACACTTGTAATATTGCGAAGGCCTTACGGCCGGTGCCGCCGACCCTGAGACAGACGAAGATGAAAACGATGGGGGGCAGGGGGAGGATGATGAGTGGGACGTGGAGGAAGGGTGGAGGAGGTGATGGGAGGAGGAGGGAGGAGAAGGATGTGGAGGAGAAGCAAGAGGAGGAGAAGGAGGCAAAGGAGAGCAGGAGGAGGGGGAGCAGAGGAGGAGGAGGAGGAGGAGGAGGAGGAGGAGGAGGAGGAGGAGTAGGAAGAGGAGGAGGCCAGAGGCTTTCTTGGGACAGCCTGGGGTTCTCTTGAGGCCGTCTTGGGCCGTCCAGGGCTCCTCTTGCGCCGTCTCGAAGCACTCTTGGATGCTTCATGGGCAATTTGGGGCTCTCCTGGGCTGTCTTGGGGCAATTTGGGGGCCCCTTGGGAACCTCTTGGGGCCTCTTGGGGCTTCTTCGGGGCCTCTTGGGGGCCTCTTGGGGCTGAGAGCTCGAAATGTCCGTTCGGGTCCCCCGTCTGGGCACTATCCTGGAGCCGTCTTGGGGCCTGTTGGGCCGTCTTGGAGGCGTCTTGGGCCGTCTTGGGGCCCTCTTCGGCCGTTAGGGGACCCTCTTGGGGGCCTCTTGGGCCGTCTCGGGGCGATCTTGGGGGCCTCTTGGGCCGTCTTGGCGCGTCGGGAAGCGGAAGAGGCAAGAACGCCCAAATTTTCCAAACACGTATGGGAAATCCATGAATTTTGCCTTTTGGGACTCTCGTGGGAAAGCTCCTGGAGGCCTTTTGGGGCGCTTTGCAGGCCTCTTGGGCCGTCTGGAGGCCGTCAAGGCGTCTTAGACAGATCGTTCGGCGATCGGGGTTCTCTTGGACTGTCTTTGGGGCCTCTTGGGGCACTCTTGGCCCGTCTTGGGGCTTTCTTGGGTTCCAGGACTCCCAGGGGGGGCGTCGTATCTGACCCCCCCCCCCCCCCGGGACCCCCCCCTTCCCCCCCCCCGGCGGGGGAGGGATCGAAGGGAAGGGGTTTCCCTTCGTCTCAATTACGACGTAGCTCAGCTTTGCTTTGGCTGGCGCGCTGAGGAGGTCCCTGGGAAAGGGGGGAGCTTCGACGAGCCCAGGGAAAGGGGGGCTGCAGGGAAAGGGGACGACAGAGACGACGACCAACGAATGACGGAGTTGACGACTTGAACGGACAAGCCCCTCACACACGTCGACAGGGTCGGCGGATTCAGTTGGTCTTGAGAGGGCTGCGCCATGGTTGAGAAGGTCAATGTGTCCTGGTTCCCAGCATTATTGCAAGGACGCCTCGGAACAAGGCCCCCGTCTCTGCCGTAGTCAGGCGTTGCAGGCTTCTAGTGGGAGGACAGTGATGACGTTTTAAGTTAGTGGGTTCCATCTTCCTCCCCGGCGCCAAACGACGGAGGCGGACACCTTGGCCGCTCCAAACCAGGTGGAGCTCTTCGCTGGCTGAAATACCACACGATGAGCTCGCAAGGTGCCTTTCCCCCATCTTTCCTTGTCCATAGCTTCTTCTCCTCCCCTCCTTCTCCTCATAGTTTCAGGCAGCGTTACCGATTAGCTTGGCCCAGGAGTGCCCCGAGCAGCGCTCGCAGCGGGAGCGGAAGGGGTAGAGCATTCCAGGCGTTGCGAGGGTGGGGCTGCAGGAGCGCGATAAGGGAGCGGGATGGGGGAGCAGGGAAGGAATGGCATGTGAAGAAGCTGGGGGTGAGGGGGGGGGAGGGAGCGGGATGGCAGAAAAGGGAGGGGACGTGTGAGAGGCAGGGGTTCGTATGCGGGCGGAGAGGGCCTGGGAAGAAGGCGGGGGCGGGAGCGTGCACGCGCCCGCGCTCAACGAGCCAACGCGAGGCCGCTGGCGAGCTGGTGCTGCTCCCCTGATGGGCACGGTGGCCTGCATGCGGGGCAAGGATGATGATGATGATGATGATGATGATGATGATGATGATGATGATGATGATGATGATGATGATGATGATGAGGAGGAGGAGGAGGAGGAGGAGGAGGAGGAGGAGGAGGGGTTGAAGCGGAAATACAGGAGGGATGATGGTGATGATGTTGCTGTTGCTGCTGCTGCTGATGATGATGCCGGACGTTAATGATGATGATGATGATGATGATGATGATGATGATGATGATGATGATGATGATGATGATGATGATGATGATGAGGAGGATGAGGATGAGGATGAGGATGAGGATGAGGATGAGTATAAGGATGATGATGATGTTGATGGGGCTGGGGATGGGAATGGGGATGGGGATAGGGATACTGATGATGATGATGCTGATGGTGATGATGATGATTATGATGATGAATATTTCGAAGACGATGACAATGACGATGCTGTTGATGACGATGCTGATGATGGGGATGACGATGGTGATTATGATGGTGATGATGACGATGATGATGATGATGATGATGATGATGATGATGATGATGATGATGATGATGATGATGATGATGATGGTGATGGTGATGGTGATGGTGATGGTGATGATATTGATGTTGATGATGCTGATGATGACGACGCTGATGATGATGAGGATGATGATGCTGTTGATGATGGTGGTGGTGATGGTGATGATTATGGTAATGTTGATGCTGATGCTGATGCTGATGCAGTTGATGCTGTTGCTGCTGATGTTGTTGTGTGTTGTTGTCGACGAGTGTTCATTTTCTGGAGACAAATTATTGTTGATCCCCTCCCACATGGGATTCGGGGTGGTGGACGACGATGACGACGACGACACGGGACGACGAAATGGGACGACAACAGGGGACGACGACAGGGTACGACCTCCAGACGTCTTCCACAGGCCAGCGACAACCGCTCCCTGAAGCACCCTCACCACGCCACGCCCACACGCCCCACGCCCACAAGGGGGTGGGGGGGGACTCACCACGCCACGCCCACAGGCGCCCACATGAGGGGGGCGGTCACGCATCGCGCGGGTGGGGTGGGGGGGCCGATCAGCATTGAGGGGGGTGGGGCAGACCCGGAGGCTCCAGGAGGAGCAGTGTTGATGAGAGGGGAGACACGGATTGGACAGGAGACGAGGGGTCGGGAAGGGATGGGGGGTAGGACGAATGAATTGGGGGGATCAGGACGAAGAGGCGGGGACGACGATGTCGATATCTAAGGTGATTGTGGGGATGGTGATATCCATGACGACGAGATTTCGCAGGTGCCGAGATGGGAATATCAGGGTAGGACCACGGCTCCATAATATGTCAGAGATGTCGCATTGAAAGTGGTGAATATGAGCCGAGTAGAATTGAAGAGGGTCTGAGACGAGTAGATGAAAGCATGATTCTACACTCGATGCCGAATCTACTGGGTGTGGATAGCGTGCTTGAAGCAGGGAGATCGATGAAGTAGCGGCTGCTCTGTTCTCTGCTCGGTATCACCGCCCATTTTGCCAGGAATACTTCTGGCAGACGGGGGTGGTACTTTATGGTTTCAAGAGAGGTGCGCATGCAAGTTCACCTACCGTTGTTCCCTCTGCTTCAGCAGAGAATTCTCTCACGCTCGATAGCTTCCTGCTCGTGAGACGCGTGGTGGCGCCACCTTGGCGACGGCAGCTCCGCTTGCCCAAAATAGGCGGCGCCGGCCAGGGCTGGCGAGGGCCGCCGAGGGCCACCGACGGCAGTGCGGTGACGACGACGATCTCGCACGACCTCGATACAGCGAGCCCGGCTGCTAGAGGTGCCTGTCGGAGCCGAGCCTGCGACGGGGAACCGAACTTTCCCCTCTTTCCAACCAAGAAGTGTTTCAGTATTTCTCGCAATTTCTGGGCCTCCATGGAGGTTCCTCGTCGCAGCGGCGGAACGCTCCCCGGGACAGGTCTGAAGGTCGATTTGAGGAGGGGGACACGGCGGATGGGGAGGAAGGACGTGGGAGGAGGAAGGGAGAGGTGTAGGAGGACGAGGATGAGGAGAGAACGAGGAAGGAGGAGGGAGGAGCGCAGCGGGAGGGGCGGCGGCAGCAGTAGGAGGAGTAGGGAGGGTGGGTGGGTGGAGGGGAGGGGCACGGAGGGGAGGGGAGCGGAGGAGGGAGGAGGGGGAGAACCAGGGAGGGACGGAGGGAGGGAGGGAAGGGGGAGAAATGGGGAAGGAGGGAGGGGGGAGGAAATTGGGAGCAGGGGGGGGAGGAAGGGGGATAGGGCGAGGGAGGACTGGAAAGCACCGCGCGCCCGCCCTCCACGGCCATGCCACGGCGGCGGCTCCGGGGCGCCGCTGCGCCCTCGCGGGGGGCGCTCTCGGCGTGTCGGTCGCCGGGGGCCTGGGGCTGGCGGGCCGCCTCCCGCCGGCAGCGGCCAGCAGCCGCGGCCTGCGGCGTACGTCGTGCGTCGGCGGTGGCGGCGGCGTGTCGTCGTCGTCGTCGGCGGCGTCGTCGTCGTCGTCGCCGTCGGTTTCGGCGCCGACGTTGTCGCGGCCGCCGCCGTGCCCTCCCGTGCCGCGCACGCGTGCAAGTGAAGGAGGAGAGGAAGGAGGAGTGGGAGGAGAGGGGGAGAAGGTGGATGAGGAGGAACAGGGGGAGGAGTAGGAGATTGAGAAGGACGAGGACGAGGACGAGGAGGAGGAGGAGGAAGAGGAGGATGAGAAGGAGAAGGGGGGGGGAGGAGGAGGAGGAGGAGGAGGAGGAGGAGGAGGAGGAGGAGGAGGAGGAGGACGGCGATAACGAGGAAGAAGAGGAGGAGGAGGAGATGGAGGAAATAGCAGAAGTGGAGGAGGGGGAGGAAACAAGGAAGCAATGGACGCCACAGTCGGTGGACGGTGAAAGCAAGCAGACGAGTCAGCTGGAAGAGCCGGGGGGCGGATGGGGGCGTTGCGCGCGCCCCACACCCCTGAACGCGCCTGCTTGTCGTCCTTGTCAACGGTGATGGGCACGGCGGGGGCGAGGGCGCGCGCGCGTGTGCGCCGCGCGCGTTTCCTCCTCCACTTCCTGCTGCTGGTTCTCCTCCTCCTCCTCCTCCTCCTCATCCATCCTCCTCCTCCTCCTCCTCCTCCGCTCCTCCTCCTCCTCCTCCTCCTCCTCCTCCTCCTCCTCCCCCCTCCCTCCTCCTCCTCCTCCTCCTTCCTCCTCCTCCTCCTCCCCTCCTCCTCCTCCTCCTCCTCCTCCTCCTCCTCCTCCTCCTCCTCCTCCTCCTCCTCCTCCTCCTCCTCCTCCTCCTCCTCCTCTCCAACCTTCCTCCCACCGAGGGCTCCAGGGCCCTTCCTTCGCTGGCCTCCTCCACTGTACGAAGGATCTGCGCCTGGGTCACCGCCTTGGGGGGGCCACCTGGAGAGGTTCTCGCCCCCTTACTTGGTGCGGGGTGGCATCTGCCTTCTAGCCACCTGCCGTCGACGGTGACAGTGGAGCTGCAAATGCTGCACAAGTACAAACTGAATTCAGGTCAATGGTGCAACTTGTGGTTATGATGAGCCTTCACCCGGTGAAGGCTCATCACAGCCACAGGAAGTCGTGATTGGCACAGTGAAGTTCACCGTGTCAATCGCGACTTCCTCCTTGATCGCCCTAAACTTGCCCAAAGGGCAGTCTGATGGGGCGGGGCACCAGGACCCGGAAGGGGACATGGCAACCAACCAGAGGTTGGCACGATGTGTTTGCAAATTTTGCACCTCTACCGATCGGCACAAGGCTCACACTTGTGCGCGGATTGGAAAAATAGCACGGGGCAGCTTGCTTTTGCGCGGGGCTCTGATCTTACCCTCTCGAGTGGCCTGCCAGGGACCGACTTGGAGGGCACAACTGAGGGCTCTGAAGACACTACGTCGAATGAGGATGGCCAGCGAGTCGTATTCCTCAGTACGTGGCACTGGTTGTAAAAGGAGTTGGGACCACGAGGTCTTAGCAGCCTCGCCAGCCCACTTTTCAGCACACACATTGCCTGACGCGAGGGAAACTTGCCAATCAGACAGAAATGGCTCAGTGTCTTCAGGGTGGGCGGCCGTCCAAACAAGATTGATTGCATACGAGCCTCGATGGCGGAGGGCCAGTGTGACCCTGTACCACAAATCTTGATTGGGACCTAGCGTACTTTTGGCACGGTCAGCCCCACCCAGTAAATACAGGTTGCCAGCCCATGACATGCGTGATCAGCCCCTGGGAGTGCTCGAGAGCGAGCGGGAGGATGACTATCCCCGCCTTCGGCAGGAGAAGGAGGAAGAGGACGAGGAAAGTTGAGGAGGAGGAAAACGAGAAGGGGGAGGAGGAGAAAGAGGAGGGGATAACGACGAGAACGAGGAGGAAGAGGAGAGGAAGAGGAGGAGAAGGATCTGGAGGAGGATCCAGAGGAGCAGCAGGTGGAGGAGAAGGAGGAGGAAGAGGAAGATCAGTGCAAACCCAAGACTCATCACCGATATTGCAATGTGCCTTCCCTCCAAGTTCCCCCTTTCATAGGCCCCTACAACTTCATTCTCATTGAGGGAAATGCCCCGTTGGAAAACAATCGTTTGAACAAATCCATAATTGCGCCAGAACACCATTAGTGTGACTTCAACGCCTCGAATCACTTACACTGTTGCGTCTTGACGATCATGAACCGCGTCAGAAGACCATTCATGGGTTTTCATCACCGCGTATCACCGTGACTTTTGCGCCCTGGCGTTCCGACATCGTGCCGAAACGCAATTTCACATGATGATTCTTGACACTGCTGCAAACTCTTAAGACGAATGTGCGCTGCGCTAAGGCGCTGGCCACATCTTGAAAAAGAACAGCCCTCCATCCGCGAAGTTCTTGCAAACTTTTCAGACGGATGCACGCGGCGCTAAGGCGAGAGCCACGTGTTGAAATGGAGCAGCGCCCCATCAGTGAAACTCTTGCGTTTTTAAGACGAACCATCCGCGAAATTGTTGCAACTTCTAAGCTTCAGGATCTTTTTTTGTTCGACTGGCCTCGGGGTGCGACAGGGAGGAGTTATTCACAACGAAGAGGGATGGAGGAGGAGGAAGAGAAGGACGAGAAAGAGGAAGAGGAAGAGGAAGAGGAGGAGGTGGAGGAGAAAGAGAAGGAGTGGGGAACAGGAGGAAATAGCGGAATGGGACGAAGACGAAGAGCAGGAGGAGGAGGAGGAGTGGGAGTCGGAGGAGTTGGAGAAGGAGTTGGCGGAGGAGGAGGAGGAGGAGGATGAGGACATCGAGGAGAGGACCAAGGCTTCGCACGACGCCCGAGCTGGCCTCGGCCGCGAGAGGCCTGTCATCAGAACATCCTCGAACTGGCGGCCTCGGCTGCCGCCTCCGTTTCCTCCCTCGCGCGGCACTGGGCATCCGTGCGATGTTGTTGTTGGTGATGATGGTGTTGTTGATGGTTATGGTGATGCAGATGATTGATGACCGCTGATTGCTGATGGATGATGGCGACGATGAGTGTGCTGATCATGTGGATGATGTTGGAGATGATGCTGATGATGGTGGTGGAGATGATGGTGATGGCGATGATAATGGTGATGGTGATGAAGATAATGTTGATGATGATGATGATGATGATGATGATGATGATGATGATGATGATGATGCTGACGACGATGATAATACTTACGATAATACCAATGTTGTTGCTAAATATGATACTGATTAGCGATTGTCGACTGGTGATTGATGATTGATGATGATGGCGATTATGGCGACGATGGCGATGAGGATGATGCTGCTGCTGATGATGATGATGATGATGCCGACGAGGATGATGGTGATGACGATGGTACTGCTTATGATGATAATTGTGGGTTGATGGTGATGTTGATGTTGTTGTTGATGTTGTTGATGATGATGATGATGATGATGATGATGATGATGATGATGATCGGTGATTGGCGATTGGCGATTAGTGATTAGTGATTGATGATGGTGATGATGATGCGGATGATGGTGTTGATGATGATGATGATGATGACGATGGTACTGATGGCAATAGGTGTTTGGTGATTGGTGCTTGATGATGATGATGATGGTGGTGATGATCGTGATCATTATGTTGATGCGGAGGATGAGGATTATGATGATGCTGCTGATGCTGATGCTCATATGATTTTGATGCTGATTATTATGGTTATGGTGGTGGTGATATTGATAATGCTAACGATGGTGATGATGAAGATGATGATGCTGATGATGATGCTGATGATTATTTAATCGCTTCGCTCATGCCGCCGGCCCTGGAGCCCTCTTTAGGGCCTCTTGGGGGCCTCTTGGGGACCTCTTGGGAGTCTCTTGGGGCTCCTTGGCGGCGTTTTGGAGGCCCCCAGGGCCTCTTGGGGGGCTCTTGGGGGTAGTCGATTGCGGCTCCCCCCTCGGAGGCCACGATCCTCGTGAGGGGTGTCGAAAAATGGCCCTCCCCTGGAGTGCTCTGGGGGCTTCTCCCGGGCTTCTCTCGGG